ACCATGTTATGAAAGTTATTTGATCTCATAATTTTGAATAGTAAACGAGTGATCATTGTCTAAAAATAATATGTATGTATTAATGATACACTTATTATATTTATTTATTGAATTAATAATTAAACAAAATATAGTCAGTATTAACTTTTTCAAACCACGCCAGTTTTTTACGAACATTATTATTATATAACATGGTCAAGTGGTAAATAGAGAGATACAAAACAAAAGGGCGGAAAAATTGGATTTTGCCTATTTATACATTTTGTCTAGAGTAACTAAATTAATTTACTTATTTATAACACAAACACAAAATTTTTAAAATAATATCTTAGTTTGGAGCTGTCTGAGTATCATTTTCTTGACGTGATGTTGGTGGAGTATTTCCTAAGCGATTTACATGATAGATTCGAAAAGCGGAAAAAAAACGTAAAAGTAAAACTGATAAATCCATGATGTTAACAATTTCATTATTTAAATTTTTTTTTTTTAGTTTGTTTTTCTACCAGAATGTAGCTTTTATTCTAGTTAGTGTGCAAGTTATTTTTTTGATTTTCTGTATAATTGTCTTTATTATTTGAGAAAACCGGAAAAACGGGAAAGTTAACAGCACAACTGTTTCATTATTATTTATTATATTTTCTAAACTATTTTGGTAATTTTTGAGTTATTTATAGACATTTGATATTTTCTAGTTTTTAGGTTTTTTAATATTTAAAATATAAATTAAAGAACCTCATGTATCTTTCCTAAACAACTTCTCTCTTACTGCCCTTTCCCATCTATTTTTTCCTATTCTTATGTAAAATAATTAAAGATATTTGAAATTGTTGAATTAAACCCTTAAATTCTGAATTTTTGAATTATCATCGTGTATAGTTTTTGAGTTATTGTCGAGATTTTCAGTCGAGTGCATACTAAAGTGTGTACTAGATTGTTTTCTAAAATTAAGCTTTTTCTAAGTTCGCCGTTTCACGAGGAAAAAACAGTTTACACGAAATTCACGTGGCACTTCACTAGCAACTGGCATGGAAAGAATTATCGTTATTCTTTTACAGGACTTTTTTTAAGGTGCGTTCGGACACATTTTTACGCGCAGATCTAATTCAAAAAATGCGTTATTGTAATTTTAACTTCTATATAATTCAATGATTCGGTAGTAGTACGACAGTGCACTTATAAATACGATTTACATTATTACTGTTTCGGCGTTTTTTCAACGTGGCTATATTATTTTATCCGCATCAGTTCTGATGCATTTCGCAGTTCTAAACAAATCCTTAAAAGAACGTCTATAGAACAATATTTTTTCCGTATACATACTCGATAATTTTGAATTTTCACGAGTAGGTTACAAACGTGTTATAAATGTATAGTTATAATTAATAAATGTAGTGATTTATAATAATAATCCGTATAAATATAGAATATCGCGTTAAACTCACCTTGCGAATGTACCTGTTGCTGTAGGATAGCAAGCAGTGTGTATATTATGTCGACGGGTTTCAACATAATTTGGCCGGGGAAAAATTCGCGTGATGGTGATACTCACGGATCACACGGTAAAATACGAATATAATTTATGATTATTTCAAATGAACGGACGAATTTTTCCCCGAGCATCTACCGCCTTCAACCACGAGCCGATCGCATTTTAAAAACAAACGGCCCGACAAGAACGAAAACCGAAAACATAAACGACATGAAAATTTCGGGGGAAAAAAAAGAAAAAAAAAACTTTTTCGCGTTACCTATACACCGTATTTTTTTGGCGAACCGCCGCCACTATTTGTTTACGACTAAACCGCTAAAAAACCGTTAAGTTCCTCGGTCGGCAGCGAATCGGTGACCGCCTCCGCCTCCGCCGCCACCACCGTCGCCACCGCCACCACCACCACTTTCACCTTCACGAGACAGAAAGCGAAAAAAACAAAGACAGTATTAATATAATACCTAAAGGTTCAATGTCGTCGATGTAAACGGTCACGTCGATTATTATAATTTTTCGCCTGTTTCCCTCAGATGTCGCCGTCTAATTATGCTATAAATAGGTGCACACGCTCCCCTTTGATCACTTCAGTGTTACTCTATATTATAGAGATTCTTCAGTAAAATTAATCTTATATGGTTATTTCAGTACTAAAAAAGACGATTTTTTTTTTAGTAATTGAAATATCCGCATCATTTATTTTTTTCTATGTCCATTAGGGCCGACAGTAATATTTCCCTGTCCTCGGCTCTCCCTAGATCGTCTTTCCTGTCCAGCAAACCTAAACTATCCCTTACTTTGTCCGACTGTTTTTATTTATCCAGGAGACGTCTTCTGACCGTTCGCAAATATCTATACTGCAAGTCACCGTATCATTATATTCGTCCAAGTAATTCTTCATCCAATGTGTCCAGCCTTTTTTTTTCAGGACTCACATTATTCCCACTTCTCGACTGGCTGACTATGATATTTATAAAAAAAAAATTGCATTCAGCCAACTCTAGTGATAAAAATTATATTACCTCCATCTATAAAATATAACGTGTACTTATACCGCGCGGTTTATACCATTTCACCAAAATACTTTCTAGTACCTCGTCCAACATCGAAATTCGATTTGGCCGCAAATCCGCAATCGTCAACTAATCCTAAGTCAAAAAATTAAATTAAATTTTCCTATTAATCATAATGCGTATTATCATTACCTTTAAGTTATAACCATTATGTTAAACACCAAACAATTGCTACTATAGTTGAGTCAATAGTATATTATATTTTTGAACATACAAGTATATTTGATGCGTATTTGTGTTGCGGTTCACGTCGTTCATCTCGTTTTATCGCGATACGAATTAAATATTTTAAAAAAAAATAATCGAATGAATATTATAAAAATAGAACATACGGTCATTCGTACTGTCAGAGTTGTATGGTCGGTGTTCGTTTTAACGTTTTGATTTTGGTTACGAAATTGTTCACAGTGTAATGTATACCTACATTCGAATCGATTTGTGTTTGTTCCCGTGTATGTGTGCATTTCTGATCGCACGCCAATAATTGATTATAATTATTTCAATGGCAAGGGCAGAATAGGGAATTATTGTTTGAAGCAATTGCTGTTTCACAGCCAAAACGAGTATAATATAATTGTAACGAAAAACCTGAAATTTGATAATATAAAATGGATTATTATAAAAACCGGATCGGATGAAAACACGGAAAATCCTAAATGAAAAACACTGACAAAATAATTTACGGTTGATGCGAAACAGTTGAATATTTATTTTGGGACCATAATAAAACAATTTATCAATTTCATCCGCGAATTGAAGAAAAAAACTCTTTGATTTATCCCTTTGCTGTTCTCATGTACATGATGTAGATATAAATATATAATAAAACATTTAAAAGTATAAAAAGATCCCGGAAAAAAAAAATTAAACCATTTACAAAAATAATGAAATAGAAATTTCGTTTATTACAAAAAAAAAAAAAAAATCTAAAATATTGACATTCTAGTTAAAATGTATTTTGCTTTAAAGAATAAAAAATTTCTTCAGACATATACCCACTAGAATCGGGAATTTCTTTAAAACCTCAAATGTGATGTTGGAGGGTGCGTATATTTCGCGTTGATTTTTAATTTAGCGTATAAGCATCGATTATATAATAAACAGAATTACACATAACTAGAGATGTTACGAACCCTGATTTTTAAGGTCGAACGAACTAAGCCGAACTTTCTTTAAAATGAACGAACCTAAACCGGCCCGGGGCGGACCGCCCCCTTCCGCCCCCCCTAGTTACGCTATTGTATTTATGTTTGATGTTTGCTTATTCATTCATTTCTACTAGGTACTTAAGTATTTTTCCAAAATATTTTAATAAAGCCATCTAATATTTATCCAAAGAGCAAATAGAGGAGATAGCTCAAAAAAACAATAACTTGATATTATTTATAACTTGGTTTTAGATTCTGAGTGGAGCAAGAAATGTATTGGCTTTCATTGATGATTTTTTTCTGTGAACAACTTTTCTATACCAGCAATTTTACTCCGATTTACAACGATAGCAGTATTTTGATAGAAAATCTGACTGGGAAGGTACTTTCGGGAGGTCATGTTTTTATATTCTCAGAAGTTTTCCCAACAAATAGAAAAAAAAAACGGGAAAATAGGTACAATATTAAACAAATAATAAAGACAATATATAATGCATATGTAATTATTTTACCATAATATGGCATATAAATTGTTAACAAAACAGCACTTTTAACCGAACTCAGAATCGTTTTTTGTTAACAATGGTTAATCGTTGAGTATAGATATACATTAAATTTCCCCAACACTACCCTCTCAACTTTTCACCTACAACAGTGGCCCATGCACGTGTAAAGTAGTATACTTTTTTTTTTATTACTATAATATATTTTTTGTTTATTCCTCTTGATGCTCTCTGAGTAATGTTAAATGACTTTATTAAAATATATTGTACAAATAGTGAAAGATATTTAAGAAGTAAAATTAATTGAAGAAGCAATTACCAAACATAAATAATTTTGATAAATGGCTTCTAAAATATTGAACGTGAATCCACACGTGAAAAGAGTGCATTTAATTTGGGCGAACAAACTAACTTAGTTTATATCATATTTGGACGAAAACAGAACGTGGGTGAAATGAGAAAGGTTGTTTTTGGGCGAAAAACATACTGGTCCAGCGGTGCGCGTACTCTCCGGGCGTGGACTACACGGTAGAGCATACTGCGATTGTGTGCCCACGGTAGGAAAAGAAGTAACGCGAGGTTCACGGATTCCTCGGTTGGATCTTGGACAAGCTCTACGGTCTTGCAGGGCTTTACAAATACCCCATGCGTCCCAGCGTGGTACCTCTCAGAAAAGCTTCATGGCAGAAAAGCTTTTCTCGCTATGATCGAGATGAGCATGAACGTTCGTGAACGATAAGAGCAGTGTTCATTTCAGACCTTCGTCACCAGAAAGTATCGTAAATTTCTAATGAGTTATGCTAAAGCAGAATCGGATCTAGGTATTTTTAAACCTGAGGTAAAATTAAGAAAATACTCTCAATGATAAGTTTATTTTGTTGCTCGCTAAAATACGGTTCTTTATACAACACGATAATTTTTTTAATTTTTTTTTATTTTCACCTCGATGACTCATCGGCTTAATCAGTTCAATAATAACTAATTTCACATATCCTATCACATGTAGTTTGCATCATAATGGCATACATTTTCAGGGGGTGGTATACATTTTTCTGCGGAGGGATAATCTCCGGTCTCCTACTAAAATGATACTGAATAAGATTCCGAGGTAAGCTGTGTGGATCTGGGTGTCAGGTAATGATGCGATTGGATTAGATGTCTATTCATAACGACCGGGGATTCAGTAAGGATTTTACATCGGATCGGGGGAAATAATACCGACGTGTTCTCTCCCCAGTTTGGTGGCAACAGTACGTAAAATTGGAAACGTTTTTTAACTCGATATTCTACAGTTTATATTACTATTATACTGAATTTTTAAACGGTATTTCCTACGATTTCGATTTAAACAAACGATGTAACCTGCAGCCTGAACTGACCTATCGCAAAATATTATAGATATACATTATACGTAGTACGTGGTCCGCATGAAATACATAGATCGCAGATTTTTATATATTTTTTTTTTGTGCTTAGATAAATAAATACATAATCTACTATTTGGTTACCTTGACACGTCGGAGACAGGTTTACTCTTAAAAAAAAACGATATTGTATTATACAAGTACTGTTCGGCCTTGTCACGTTGCACACGCATCACGTCCGTATCTCACCGAAAAATGTAACTATCTGCGGGCACGAGAAACATTTTTGAAAAAAAAAAATCTATAATTTAGCAGCATCTTGAATTTCTACGCTTTTAATGTTTTATCTCATATACACGTCGTAATATAAGGGGTATATCTATACAGGAGAATCTATTTATCATAAACCAGCGATTTTCTCGGACAATTTTAAGTGAATTTCACTTTTATTTTTTTATTAATCGTTATGGAATCTGGAATCGTTGACTGTTCAAATACATAACAGGTATACTTTCTTCAAAGAAAAAATAAATTATGGTTTCTGTATACTTTTCAACATTGAACCATATGATTAGTGGAATTAATACTATATTCAATCAAGACAAAATTTATACTCTTCAAAGTATTGTACATTTATAAGTTTTAAATATAAGCAACAGTGATATCTCAGTATTTTTCACAGCATTTGATCCAAATTTTGATACGAAAGTATTCTTAAATATACTGACTACGGACTAATATACCGAAAGGCGAGACAAACAAATGCAGTCATTTATTGGATAAATTGGCTTACATAATCCAACTATGGAAGGAAACCGCATTTTGTAACGTCGTCAAAGCACTGAAAATGTTTTTGATTGTTCCTTTAGTAACAAGTTGTTTTAGTGAACAAACATTTTTAAGCTTACTGATGTAATAACCAAACTACGCATTTCCATGACGCAAGATCGCTTGGAGGGCCTATATACGACAATATTCGTGGTAAAGTGTATGTCTATAAAAATAATATCGATGAAGTTACTATAATATTATGAACTATCGTTACGTGATAAGGCAATAGTATTGAATGAATGAATTATTTTGAAAGCTATTATCACACTATCGTGGGTGAATGCAAATCTATAGCTATACTATTTTGAGAATGATAGTAACTATCCATAGTGTGGGCTAACGTTCCCTTTTACTATTTTTATTGTCGCGACAGCCGCGGCATTTTCATCTCTACTTCCATAGACGTTCCTATTGAAATTTGTTTTACTGTGATATTGTTATTTTCCATTATAATTACGTCATGATGGACACTATCTCTTCAGATAGTAAACCATAGTGAATCTATCAATTGCATTATAGTTACACTAATATCGTGTGAACTAAATTTTTTAAGACATACGTGTATACGTCTATCCGGTGACAATAATATAAGAATCATAAATGTACGTTAAACAATAAAAAAAAATCAAGTTAGATTAATATTTGGGTAACAAAAACAACAAAAAACCGTAATCGAAACGACAGCTAAGCGCCGCATAAAAACTCTCGCGTTTTCGCTATCGTTTCGTTTTAGACAGATTAAAATGGAACATAATTTTAAATGACACCCGATCTCGAAAAAAAAGAAATATATACATAAATAAAATATGTATATCGAATAATTAAAACGTAATGATGTTTTTCTATCGGATCGTGGGAATCGATAGTATACCCAATACAAGAGTTTTCTTATTGTTTTCGGCAACTTTCTCTCACGATTTTTAGTCGCGTTGTTAATTTTTTGGCGTAATTATTATTTGTAGTAATATAGTCTAATTATATCGGTCATTCAAACGTTATTACAAATTGTTTTTTATCTTAAATTTGTTAAATCTTGAAACTGCAATAATTGTATACGCGTCCGTAAACTTATACAAACGAATCTCAGAAAATCCGAATTTTTGACAAATTGTATACTTTTATAAAAATTACAGGTGGTTATATACATACTACATAGTTTATATATATACACCGAGGCCGATTACTGTAACTTTAAAAACTGAAAACAAATTGTTAATCATTATTTTCACAATTTCTATTTTCCTTATATTAAATAAATTTTAAATTACTTTTACTATTAGTTTTCTAATTTTGTATACAAATATTAGATACATATATTTGTATAGGCACAAACAGTCCGAATATGTTTTATGTGTGTAAGAAAGTTAAATACTTTATCCCGTTAGCTACTTAGATTACTTATTAGCGTCCTGCGTCGAACTTCTTTAGTGATGTAGTGAACGTAAAAAGTGGAAGACGAATATATTTATAATTAATACCAGTATGAATAAAAATTTAAAAAATCGACAGTTTTTGTTTTATAGATAATTTTATTCATATTAAAAAGAACAAACACGAGGCGCCAGATGTTTAGGTAGCTCTAAAAAGAGGCACTGTACGCTGCCAGCCAAGTCTATAATCTTATCAAATCAATATATTGATTTCTTATAACTCTGTCTCAGTCGGTCTGTACAGAGTGAATTCGAAGTGTAAAATATATATAAAAACCGTGAATGAACGTAGGAAAAACGGGAAGGTTTACAGAAATAACTGTTTCATTATTTTCAAATTTATTTTTGTTGTTATTCGATTTAAAATATTCGTAGAGACTTGACATTTTCATACTTTATATTAGGCTTTTATAGACGTGGTAAAAAAATGTTTAAACTATTTATAGACATTTTAAATTGTATAGTTTTTTTTTTCGTTTTTATTGAGTAGGTTATACTATAAGTGAAGAGAATTGTTTGACTAAAAAAAATTTTCTTCTCTTTCGCTTGATCCCAATTATTCGGAGTTAGCCACCTCCATTTTAAACTTCCACTTTACCCGATCTCCTACTTCGCATACACTAACTGTCTTCTTATCACTCGTAATTACGTCCAACTACCTCTTTTTTATTCTTCTTCTCGGCCTATTTTCTCCAACGTTTATTTCATTAACGTTTAATTCTTTCTGATTCAAATTCCTTTCTCCCCGTAATGTGCTTAAAACATTTTAGTCTGCCTAGTTTTTTCTACTATCAAAGATATGCCTATTTTACCTCTTATGTACTCATATATTTTTCTATCTTCTCTCTTTATTCCACTCATTCACCTCATTTCTGTTTACTTTTATGTCTACTATCCAACACTACGAACCTATCAAAATGGACAGTCTCACCACACTTTGATAAAACTTAATTTAAAGACCTTATTGGAATTCTTTTGTCACATTATACACATCACATTACACCTGACGCTTCTTTCCTCTTGAAAGCCAACATTATTTTGTACAAAAGATCGTACTTATAACTCTCAATTTTGCCTAAAACAACGTATTTTCGTTAGCGTATTGACGGTTAATACTTGAATCTCGTTTTGAAAAATCATCAAAGAAAAACCAATAGATCTCTCACTATGTTTTCAATCTAAAAGGACTATTCACTGTTATCTTAGGATAATATTCTCCTGAAAGTTTATAACTTAATTTCAACTCTCAAATGCATTCATATTTTCAAATTACCTTTAAGTTAGCTTAGTTAATATTTGTATTATTATTTTTCTTTTTGATGACTTATCAGTTATTACCTTTTACTAGTTAAACGAAAAAAAAATTGGTTAACTTGCCCAGCTTTGCCAATATTATACTAAAAACGAGGCGATTCCGCGACGAACGTGTTCAGAGTACGTTATTTTCGAGCAGCATTCACCGTCAGCGACCTCAGCCCTTTTTTTGTGTAAATAATTTCTATATTCGGGACGTGTACACCTATTATTTTATAATACTCGTATATTATTCTTTGGCATTCGTCACATATAATACATAATATAGACGATTATATTTCGCTTTATAGAGATAAATCTTAGATCGATAGCCTTTGATATCGAAATCGGTAGCGTCCGAAGGATTTTCGAATCGGCGGCGTCTCCGTATACAGATGAGAGATTATCGGTAGATTGTTGGCGCCAACGGTCGATATCGCGTGCAGTGTTTGATTTAAGAGACAGAGAGAGAGAGAGAGAGAGAGAGATAAAGAAAGAGAAAATTATAACAATGTTGGGCTAAATATAAATATACATTATATTATTATATACGTAACACCCAGTGGTCGATAAACACGTGAAAAACATAAATTAACCTTGCGGCCGGTGACACACGCACTCGTTTCGCTCTTGACCGACAAAAAAAAAAAACATCGAATTATCGTCGACGACGATGACGACGACTATGTGGTTCAGTCTACTATACTTATATTATGATTGTTTGCAATCGATCTCGTCAAAAAACTAACGGAAAACTGCGGGGAAAAAGTTTTTTTTTTTTTATAATAATTACTTACCGTTTCGATTCGTCGGCTTTTAAACGTAGTTACGTAAGGGTTATTCTGGTAATCGGTATAATATGTCGTCATGAATTAAACGATTTCGGAACCGAGCGTCCAGTCGCGGTGCCGCAAATTCTCTGCAATTCGAACACGCGACGAATTATTATATTATTGTAGTAGTTTTTCGAAATATTTCTCGTTACCAGCTATAAGAATAACGTCGTTTTTCTGCATCGAAAATAAACTACTATTATAACGACGTGTTAAGATATTGGCTTGAACTTAGATCAAGTAGTACCTAGGGCGGAAGACTAAAACCGTCCAATGTAGTCGCCATACAATGATGACTTTGTTTTTCCGAACGCATTTCGTCCGTGTTCAAAATTTCAGATCTCCAAATTGCGGTAGACATTATCTAAAATCGATGTATAATTGTCATCAACATATCATCATCAGTGTTTATCTATTTTCTGTGTTAAAAAAATACAAGAAATTTCAAAAATACTACCAGAAAGACAGAAACTCACCTTGACTTTAATTTTATGGTATTGAAATAAGTCCAAATGACCTCTAGTAAAAATCATGATAGCATAGTAACAATCAAATGATTTTATCGTAGGAGAGGATGATGAGACTAATAATTATTATTTTTTAACGAGAAAAGATCATGGGGAGAATATATCACCCAAGTAAAATTTACTTTCAAGTGTTGAAAATCGGATTAAAATTTCTGGTAGAAAAGGTGTTCACAGGAAAAAAAAAATAAACATCATTGTAAAATCAATTTATTCCTCACTCCGCTCAGAAGCTAAAATGTTTAATTTTGTTTATGAGCTTCAGTTGGTTTATTAGAAGGGATTCATTCCCGCACATTCTTAATTAAACCCATGTATTATACATGGGTATAATAGATATTTAATTATGTATATTTTATTTTAATTTTAGAAATGGGATCAGCTAAATAAATCAACCGACGACGATGATGGGATAAAGTACGTGAAAACATCTAACGGACATCCGATAATTATTATGCCAGAACGCGTTGGTCCTTTATTACCGAATACAATTTACTTCCAAAAGTCCCGGAATCGCCGACGAACCTACCGACATCATAAAATCCCGATGGACCCACGAAATCAAGTAATCTATCACGTCAGGCAACCCAGTGATGAGTTTACGGAGTCATCGACAGCTGTTACGGATGGTGACAAAAACGGGAACAGCGCTATTAAAGATACCGACACGGTGATGGACAAGAACAGGAAGGGCAGGCCCAAGGGCTCGAAGAACAGGCCACTATTCAACTCGTACAACGACCAGTGCGATAAGCGGTCGTTCGTGTACTCGTTCGCGGGACCGACAAAGTGCAAGTCTTGTAAACGGACGTTTGACGGCGACCCTGTTGTCCACTGTCATGAATACCACAAAACAGAGTGTCCCATATGTGGCCGGATGTACAAACCGCCTTTGACCTCACACATCAAGTCCCACGGAACCCGGCACGTTATACTGACCGTAGACTGCTACGAGTGTTATGACTGCAAGGAAAAATTTGGAAATGCCGATATTATGGCGAAGCACATCCTGGACGAACACGTACAGGCCGGCGAGTATGGGGCCAAAGTCCCTGCGTGCTACATATGCGGCTGGACCACGGGGACTGAACTGGACGATGGTGGCCTCCGGGAGCACATAGCCACAGTCCACGCTGATACTCCAGCACACCTGTTGGACAAACACCTTCACCAGCAGCAGAAAACCGTCACGGCGGTAGTCGGCCTCATGTGCATGCTGTGTGGTATCAAGTTCGGCGATCAGGAGGCCGTCATCGGTCATCTGGTAGACACGCATTGTCCCCGGAAAACGTTCAATCATCCAGCCGTATATAAGTGCCGAATGTGTGGAGCGGGCTTCAAAAGTCAAATAAACGTGCTGCGGCACGCCTGCAATAAAATCAAATCGCCGCACTGCGCCCAGTGTGATAAGACGTTCCCATCGAAAATGCGATACGCGTTCCACTTACAGTTTCACGACGACCACCCCAAGTATGCGACCATGCACCTACATTGTGATCTATGCCTGGCAGAGTTCGACGACGAGTACCACCTGTATGATCATATCCGTTTCCGGCACGAGCTGCACGATAAGGCTGTGTGCGAGACATGCGGCCGGACATTCAAATCATCGATGGGCCTGAACATACACCGCCGATACCATATCGGTTCCCGGAACTTTACATGCAAGTCTTGCAATAAATCGTTTCTGAACAAATCGACGCTCCGGGAACATGAGATCTCGCACATGGACGTGAAACCATTCCAGTGCAACATATGTGGTCAATACCTAAGTCGGGCATCCCGACTTCGATCTCACGTCAAAACGCATCGAGCGGCCGAGTGCACCGAGCAGACTTGCTACAGCTGCAACACGTGTGGGTTCGTGGCACCCAATTTACACTTACTAGCTGGGCACGCGTGCAAGGGACACCACGATAATAGTAGAGACGACAGCATAATTGTAGTCCAATTGTCGTCGGTGGTTAAGTGCGAATTTTGTGACTCCACGTTTGTGAACGCCGAACACCTGAACGCCCACCGAGACGCAGCCCATGCCAACGGCGGCGGTAACGACTCCTCCGAAGCATTTGTTTGCGTCGTGTGTTCGTCCCGGTTTAGCACATACTCCCGGTTAACCACGCACAAATTAACGCATGGCATAAACATGAAATCAATGGAGCAGACCGAAGACGACAATGGACCTGACGACCCTGAGCAGGAAGTGTTGGCTGACCAGGACCGGTTTACCGTGCCACAGTACTTTGCGTGTCAATACTGTGCCAAACGGTGCTTGCATTACACGTACTTTTGCCTGCACCGACGGCTCAAGCATCCACTGGGTGACCTGGCATATAAATGCGACCGATGCTCTATGGACTTTGAAACCTCCTGGAAACTTTCCTATCACAAGAAAACCGTTCACGGTCAATCGTCGGAAGAAAAGATACCAAAAAAATACGAGTGCACCTTGTGCTCTAGAAAATTCGTCAAGATCGGCGCCCTGAACCTGCACAAGACCCGTAGTCACATCGACGTGGGCATTGACGTGTGTAAGTACCTATGCCATCACTGTGGTAAGTTCTTCAGCTCCGAGTGTTCACTGAAAAACCACTCTAAAACGCACGACAGCCACGGAGTCACAGACCCGCCATCGGTTCATACGCCAAAATCACAACCAACGGCCGTCAACCATCAACGAAATCGGTATAGAACGTACAGAAAATCAACTACCACCAATAACTCTGCCGTCAGTGGCAAGCCAACAATTGTCCAGAATTCGTGTCCGTACTGTCCGTATAGCACCGACGAGAAGGCGACATTCATCGATCATGTTACGCGACACATACAGTCAAAATCCATTTCGTTCGTTCCCACCATCACCACCGTCACGCCCACTGACACGACCATGACATCCACTGTCAACTCCACCGTCACGTCCACTGACACGGCCATGCCATTCACTGTTAACACCACCATCAGCTTCCCGAAACCCGATATTTTTCGATGCCAATTGTGTGACGTGGAATTTTACGAGACCGTCCAGCTCTTCAGGGTCCACCTGGAAAATCATGCGGACTCTGGCGAAACGCTCTTGTGCCGGTCGTGTTATGTGCCGTTTACATCGTCCATCGCACTTGACATGCATCGGCACGAGACAGCTTTGTGCGGCCAACGTCCCGACGTCCGGTTCGTAGACGTCGGTAACCGTGGTGAAGACTGCGAAACTGACGACCAGACCATTATCCAACCACCTTTGGTTGTTGACTGTGCGAAAATATTCAAAGACGAGCCATCACTGTCGCCGTTATCTTCAAGTATGCCTGACACTTTTGTGGCACCCGAGTCGGACTTCGTTTTGGCACCCAAGTCGGACTCTGTTTTGGTACCCAAACTGGATCCCATAGTGTTACCAACACAACCAACTCAAGTCGCCAATGTCGCAACGCCAAACAGATCGTCGAACAATTTCGAATTAGTACTCGACGAACTCATGGCCATCATTTCTTCGCCACGTTTGTCAGCCGTCCAAGACGAAGTCAAATTTGAACCCTCCAACGACTCTCTGAACAGTTTATTCGATAGTATCTGCACGCCAGCCTTGGACCAACATCGTTTCATGATGTGACTCTAGCGAGACGATCTACAGACGAACTTATATTATTCCTTGACACAAAATAATCATATTGATTTATATTTGATTTTTGATATATATATTTTTAATCCCAATTTACTTTTGTACTGGTTTCCGATTTGTTATAGTACGTTTACCAAAAAAATGTAAAAATGCATTCATATACCGGTTTTGTTAATACATTATTTTCTATATACGAACTGTTTGAGACATTAAAATAAACGTTAATTTTCTATAATATACATATTTGAACATTTTTTTTTTTTTAGGTGGTATATCCGTACGACTCAATTAGTAGAGTATTTTTTTTTAACCGACATTGCCAAGGCGTATTTTACTTACGGCCGGTCAACAAAAATTTTGGCACGCATATTGTTATTTACAGCTACTGTGCAGTGGAAGTGTATATAGGGTACTCCATGATAATGTTCTACGCTTGGTCACGGCCAATTTTAATGAATTACCTATACTGCGGAAAAACCATAAAGTTTGAAAACTTCACATTGAAATATATCTTCACAAATCTCTCTTCTATCCCCTCCTTCCAAAAAAAAATTCATGGTCAACCATTGAATATAATATAAAATTTAGACAGGTTTTTTTTTTTACTCGGTTTTTTTTTGATTCCGAGGCTCAGACTAAATTTTAATTGGATTGTCTGTTTCGAAAAACGGGATTAAAAAACATAAATATGCGTAGTAAGTACCTACACAGTTTTGGGAAAGCAATGATGATAGTATAAACTATAATGTGAATAAAATTATTTCGACTGGGCAAAAATGCCCGAAAATTTTAAACGAGGCTTATCATATAAGTTTTTTTTTACGTAGTGGGTTTCTGTAATACGCATGTAATATAATCGACCTATTTAAACTAAATACAGACAGTGGATAGTTAATAATAATAACAATAATATAGGTAACGACGCAAGAACGCACGCTAATAACATAACATTTAAAACCGAGTTCTTCAAGCGAGATAATCGTTATAGGTCGTGGTAATATAGTACCTATTATAAGTGCACAATAATATGTATTCTACAATTGGGCGATTTGATATTTTTCTGACGACGACATTGGCGAAATAATTGTCACTGCAACATACGTGCGTATTATATAATACGATTATCTGTCCCGCCCGGCGTTGCCCGTGCAAATTTAATTAACCGTGGCATCCGAAACTTGGTGTAACGGTAGACCGTTAGACAGCTAAGTGCGAAGTAGATTTACAGTATTTAGCCAAGAAAAGACAATCAGTTTTCAATGAAAATGGTTAATTTATACCTCATTTAGATAAGTTCAATCGCATACAATACTGGTACAAAAATTTATTTATTTATTTTTTTTTTTTTTGAAACCATGTACCTAGCTATATACGAAAAAGTAAATAATAATAGAAAACATTTTATCGGTATATAATGATGAATGTTCACACATACCTATTTTTAGGGTTGAATTATGCATAATAAAAATTCTGATTTTTGAAATACAAATAGGATAAATATGCTTAAAAAAATCACCCTGTATAATCTCATAACATCAAAATTGAATGTGACAGTGATATTATGTTGTTTAATATCAGATTTTACACTATGGTCAATACTCTGCTCCACACTCAATATTACCTTCGTATCTGTTAGTTCACAAGACCTAACCTTAGTAGATACTGCTTACTTATCGACAAAGTTTGGAATTCGGGCGAGATTTATGTTTCGAAATTGATATACTTGGATCTCGATCTCCAATTTTGAATCTTGATCATAACTATTTTTTTGTTAGAGAACGATCAATTCAAAATGTTTGGGACTTATAATGGTACTAAGTTTTGAAATTACGGTAAAAATGATAATTCCTTCCGTAGTGGAGCCAGGCTTGTTTTTTTGTTTGTGTCTGCATCTGGATAGGTTAATAGCGAAATTATGTTCATGTTGAATTATAGGTTTATATTTGCTGACGTACGTACTACCTTTACTTCAAAATCGTTGTAAAAACAACAATATCAGTACCACGGTTATAGAAAATTGCGTACGTTTTTAAAATACTTCACATTATGCGTTAATCGCGGTGCTGTAGATAATATCATCGTAATAAACGACGGTATAGTTTGAACAAAAACATCGAGAACAATATTCGAATTTACGACGGTCGACTGACTAAACCTAACCTCTAGGTATGTATATAAAACTTCGTGGTTTTATAAATTATAATAACCATGAAGTTTTATAAATACAACCGCGAAACTGTCTGTGTATCATTTATATCACCACAGAAGGCATCTGGAGATAGCAATAAGTCTCCTCTCATGATATGCACTAATACCTAATACATTATCATTTAGAAACCAGATTTTTATTAATTTTCATTTTTTATACCTTAGGAGACTTGGATTATTACTTGAGTCTCGGACATTTTTGCATCTTAGATTCCGGTTTGTTTTACTACCACGTTGTAACATGTATTATGAATATTATGATGTGTATTTTTTGTTAAAATTTTTTTTTTTTTTTAAATTATATTTTTATAGTGTTTCATAGATGTGTAAGTAATATTTTTAAAATGTTTCTACCTTTATTCGAGTGATTTATATCTACATCGAGTTTTCGATGTATGTAATTTTATTTCTTTGCATATTATTTTGGCAAATTTATCGTAAATATTAACAGATGAACTCCACTCAAAATCGTAACTATATTCTATTTACAATAGTTCTGTTTGTTTTGTAAATCATAATTATCGAAACGTATATAATTTCGTGACTCGTCCGAGTAACTTCGATTTTTACTATCGACTTCATTGTCGTTGCCATCCACATAATCTCGCAATAATATTCACCCATTTCTATACTCTATAACGTCCACGAAGACACCGAAGTGCATTCGATCGTGTCAAAAATTATACTTGCGCCTACACAACGTCTACCTATCTATATATTTTTCAAACACGAAGTGAACCATCGAATTTTGCAAGAAAAGGACCTATAATCTGCAGTCCCACAAGAATCAAGACGCGTTGCTCAACGCGTTGCAAAATATTATAATAATATCATAGACGGGCACGACGCGCGTGTGTATGTGTGTATATTATTATAATATATACGAGCCTAGGAAAACAAGGTCGTCGTTTCATTAGTATAGCCCAATTTATTTCATCGAGTCTGTATAGATAGAATAAATTAGGTATAAATTATTAAATTATAATATCATATAATTATTATCGTGCACTTTTATTATCATGCGATAAATACGCGTTATTTTCTTTTTCTTTCCTATTTAGACACGCGCGCGCGCGCTTCAATCGAACACCGCATAAAAGGATTCCGATACTGCACGAGGTTGTTAGAAAAAAAAAAAATGTATATAATACAATAATAACGTTAAAGATATTATAATATGTAACGCGAAATCGTAACCTAATAACAATAATAATATACTTATCGCCTAGCCTATGGTGTAGTCCGGCCGATAATAATGGCTAGCATCTCGGGACTGAATCCCGGAGTAATAATATTGCAGTATAGGCGGCGAATTAAGTCTTCCGGTTCATTTTTCTGAAATATAATATGTTTGAATCGAATCCGAAGATATTGATGAATGTTTGCAATAACTATGTTGATTAGTGACTATGACCAGTCTTACAATAAGTGTCCCTATAACTAAATACATTGATATGCATACTCTATGGTACGGATAGCATTTTATCGTCCGCAATATAATAAGCAAATGTATAACAGGCAATTTCTATAGTTTATCCCAGTCATTATAATTATATACTCGTCGTTTTCCGGAAAATCATGTTCCACGACTAGATGTAACTACAGCTGTAAAGGGTTATTGGTAAATAATCCAAGAGAAAAAAACTAGAAAAAATTGTTGACAAAATTAAATAATGTACAATGTAAATATTAGTTGTCCCACATGACTTTATCAGTGCACCGTATTAAACGAAAGTATACAAAAAAATAAATTGTCTCCTTGGATTTCCCTTTTGTTTTTATCTCATCTAAACTTTGGATCACTATAGCAGTACGCCCCTGCCCCTTACATAGTCCAATATATCAAAATAATCACCTACCAAATTAAATATCTATGGTATATCATTGCCAGTGGCGTGTCCAGGAGGGAAGGTTAAGGGTTATTTCCCTCCCACTGGCTTAAAAATACAACAAAATATGAGTAATCTAATATCAAAACTCGTACATTTCGGCTGATTTCCGAGAAAAATCATGCATTGATTAAAAATTAGCATTTTTTTTATTTTATAATACATATTATCTTTTGTTTACGTTATGATATTTGTTATTTTATTCATTGTTATGATACTGTCAAATACTTTAATAATTATATACAGTAATGTGGAATCGAGGAGGATCATTTTATAAATTTCAGTACTATTAAAGTAAATTATAATATATAGACATCCGCACCATATAGAATAGTTAGTAAAATATTTTATTTTATATGTTCTCTGTGTTCGTTTATCGTAATTAAACCGCACGCATTTAAACTAAATTCTATAACGCATGTATTACCGAATTTAGTGTTGTATAAAGATACATTTTTAAATATCTAGATAAAGATAAGATATATTTGCTGGAATAAGTAAACTCATAAAGATAAAAAATATAAAACAATTTAATTATCTGGATAAATATAAACAATCAGGAACCTTTTATCTAGATTAAAAAAAAAAATAACCATCGTAAGACTAAATGCTAAAACTAATAAAAGTGTAGGTACACATCTAGAGTTCATAAAGGTTTGTGTAATTGATTTAAATTAATAATTAGTTTATTAAATTATATTAATATAAATTAAATATTTTATCAATTATTTCTAATTAGTATACAAATAACCGAAAATAATTTATCTAAATGGTTCAATTATTTATTTCAGTTAAATTATTTCTTATTTATCTAGATATGATAAAAGATAAAAAATAAACGTCTATAATAAAACGTAATACTCATATAATCAATACAGCCAAGTTTGTAATTTT